GGGGGGGGGGGGAGCAGGCGCAAATGAAAAAGTACGGTATGTGGGTGTCCTCTGCACCATTGTATTGTTTAAAATAAATTTGAAATTATTTCCAAATAAAATGAAAGAAAAGTGCCCTGGCTGGTGTGGCTCAGTGATTAGAGCACCGGCCCATGCACCAAAGGGTTGGGTGTTCGGTTCCCAGCCTGCACCTTTTGTGCAGGTTCAATTTCCGGCCCCCATCAGGGTGCATGTAGGAGGCAACCGATCCATGTGTCTCTCTCACATTGATGTTTTTCTCCTTCTCCCTCTCTTTCTCTTCCCCCCCTTCATTTCCTCCCTCCCTTCCACTCTCTCTAGAAAAAAACAATGGAAAAATATCCTCACCTAAGAGTTAGCAACAACAAAAGAAAAGCCAATGCCATCAAGGCAGAAAGCAAATGAATATTTAAAGAACCTACAAATCACTAAGATAATAATCCCCCACAGAAACGTGAGTAAAAGACATTGTTGGGGTTCGAGGGGCTCCTACTAACAGGACCAGCTGAGACACCGCACACCCACAGCTGGAGGGATGAGGCCTAGGGGGACGACTGTGGAGCTCAGAACAGCCAGACCTGCCCCGGGCCCCAGACATAGGCGGGCAGGCCTCCCCACCGTGGGCACGGCACCCCAGCCAGGCCTTGGGGAATCACAAGGCAGGCTCCTTGCGGGTCGGTGACGGGAGGGGCCCCCTGTGGTGGAGGCGAAGGGTCAGCTTCCTGCAGGGGCGCCTCAGCCAAGGCTGGCGGGCAGGGAGTTCTGGGTGGGCCGGGGGCGCAGCAGCACCTCCTCCTGCAGGCCGCGGCAGCGCGTGCTGGCCAGCTCCTTCTCCTGCAGCGCGTTGCTGTAGTGCAGCGAGAGGTTGAGCATCTCGTCCTTCAGCTTCAGCACCTCATGGAAGTGGGCGCTGACCTCGCGCTTCATGCGGCCGTGGTCGGCCTCCAGCTGCTGCAGGCCCTCGGCCCGGGCCTCCGCCTGGCCCAGGCGCTCCTGCAGCCGCCGGCATTGCTGCGCCAGCACCTCCCGCTGCCCCTTCTCCTGGCTCAGCTCCTCCTGCAGGCTGCCGATGGCCCCGGCCAGGCATGCGGTCAGCTTGGACGTCTCCATGAGCCCTGCGGGGAGCTGGGCATCACCACCCTGCCCGCCCCTCGTCCCCCAGGCCTTTGCTTCCTGCCCCGACTCTCAAGAGGGCCCACCCTATCTGTCGTCTCCACCAAGGCTTCCGGGCCGAACTATACCCGAGATTTGGGTAAATAAACCACGTGATTCCAGATTTGGGTACAAGGACTACCCAGCGTTGGCTGCCCTGTGTGACCCACTGTCCAGACCCCTGCCCCTCCTCAGCCCAGACGTGCTTAATGCTAACAGTCTCACGTCATCCTCAAAACAGTAACGGGACCGTAAGTCTGCGTCAGAGATCTCGACGCAGCACAAGCACAGCCTGCGAGGCGCCAGACAGGAGCATCCTCTTGTGCAGTTTCCAGGGCTCCTGCCCCGCCCTCTGAACTCCCACCTCCCTCAGTGCCCCCAGGGGAGCCTGGAATTACTCCCCCCCACCACCCAAGCCCAGTGAGCCCCCACTTAGCGGGCTGAGCACAGGCACAGGGCTGTGGCCTGCACTGCTCTCGGCCCAGGCCTCGCCAGGAGTGGGCCTGCCACCCCAGCACAGCCCCCAGCGGGCCTGGGAGCTCTTCTGGGGAAAGGACACGTCCCTGTGCCCGCACCCGTGAAGGCCGCCCCCTTGGTGCTGCATTAGGGACAGACTCTTCCTCTGAGCCCAGCAGGGGCTCCCTCTCCCACCCGTTCCCCTGCAGTGCGCGGAGGGTCTCCTCTCCCGAGTGCTGGGCGGGGCAGGACGGAACCTCTGCCTGAGCCTCGGGAACAGGGTTGGGAACAGAGGTGACAGGCCCCGGAGGCTCCGATCGCAGGCCAGCTCTCACCACTGAAGGTGCTGAAGTCCACGTCGGGCTGCAGCCCAGTGACCAGGGTGTAGACGTCGGGGTTGTGGAACTTCAGGCTCTCCAGGAAGGCGAGCGCCCCGTTCTTCCCACGCACCCTCAGCAAGTCCAGCAGGTGCCCTTGGGGGACAGGACAGTCTGGGCTGACAAGGCGCTGGGCGGGCTTCCCCATGAGGGGTGGGCGCCCTCCGCCGCGCAGGCCCCTCTGCTGCCAGAGTGCAGTCAGTCTGGAGAAGGGCAAGGCCGGCATTTATTGAGCAGCTACTACGACCCGTGCGCTATGAGCTGGAGATAAAAGGCTAAGGAAGATGAGGGTCGCTCCGGGACCTACCAGGTGTGCTGGTGGGCGTGTGGGTGTGCGCACCCAGCTCGGGGAGGAAAGCAGCTAACAGCAGCACCAGGGCCCGGCCCCCCAGCCCCATCGCTCTCAGCTTGGATTCTGAGGCTCATCAGGCAGCCGGCAGAAAGTATCCTGTCAGTAGCTACCGCCCACCGCCGGCTCTCCACGGCCCGGCCCGGGCTTTTGAGACAAGTATCTTAGAAACTGACTCAATTCTCCTAAGAAGCTGATATGGTGACGCTATGACCTTCCCGATTCTGAATGAATAAACACAGACGGTCAGTTGGGCTGGAACAGGCGGGCTGGCCCCCAGGAGTGTCCGCCTAGAGCCCGCCAGTGGGACCTTACTTGGAAGAAGGGTCTTCGCGGGTGTAATTAGTGTGACCGTGAGCGGAGCGCATGCTGCACAGCTGGGGGCCTCTGTGCAAGGACAAGTGTCAGGAGGGCAGGAGACTCGCAGAGAGGCATGCAGACCGGGCAGCGGCTGGAGCGACGGCCACAGCTGAGGTGCCGGGCCCACAGCCGAGGGTGCCGGGCCCACAACCGAGGGGAGCCGGACCATAGCCGAGGGTGCCGGGCCCACAGTCGAGGGGGCCGGGCCCACAGCCGAGGGTGCCGGGCCCACAACCGAGGGGAGCCGGGCCCACAACCGAGGGGTGCCGGGCCCACAGCCGAGGGTGCCGGGCCCACAGTCGAGGGGGCCGGGCCCACAGCCGAGGGGGCCGGGCCATAGCCGAGGGGGCCGGGGCCCCCAGAAACTGGAAGAGGCAGGAAGGGTCCTCCCCTGGAGCCACCAGAGGGAGGCGGCCCCGCCCACACCTTAACTTCAGACCTTCAGCCACCGTCCTTGTGGTCCTTTGTTAGGGCGGCCCCAGAGAAACTAACACAGGGTCCCCCCCGCCCCTCCCCTTGGCCCCGCAGCGCAGGCTCACCCACTCTCATGGCCGAATTGGTGAACCGGGGGCTGTGCAGCACCTCCTCCTCGTCCAGCTGGCCCAGCACCTTGGCCTGGCGCAGGTAGGGGGTGAGGCGGCTGGGGCAGATGCTGCGCACGATCCGGTGGCGGTGGCTCTCCGTCATCTCCCACAGCGTCTCCTCGTCCAGGGCTGCCAGCGAGGAGTGCGTGCGGTGCAGCTCCGCCATGGCCGGACCTGGACGGAAAGGGCGGTGGCGGAGGGCTGGTCAGTGCAGGGCTCCCGCCCCGAGGCCTTCCCCTTCCACCCATCCTCCCCACCGACAGGCAGGGAAGGAGAGGACCCCCGGAGAGGACGATGACACCGGCCCGGCCCTGGTGTCCCGTGACCGGCGGGAGGGACGCCCACTGCACCTGGGGCGGAGGGAGACCTGGCTCCTCTGGCTCTCGGGACGCGGATCTGTCTCTGACACAGGCTGCTGCCTGGCCCGACCGGCACTGGCTTAGGAGGGGGGTCTAGACCACAATCCCCCACAGGGGGGCGCAGGAGGGAGCGAACCCCTGGACTCTCCTGTGTCCGCAGCACAGATGTGTGTAGGGAGACAGCAGTGCGCCTGTGGCGGTAACGCCTCCGGGCAGCACCGACCTGGGGGCACGGGAGGCTGGATGAGCTGGCACCCAGAGGCAGTGCCCGG